TATTATAATAATAATAATTATTTTAATTTAAACTTGAGCGACTAACCTTAACGATAAATCTTGATGTTGATGGTTGTATTTTAGTCATATAACATATATATCACTGAAAACTAGATCCTTCTTCTTTTTCTTCTTCTTCTTCTTCTTCTTCATTGGGGAAAGTTTGATTATAATTAATTTGAGGCTAAGGGGAAAGCAATTAGTATCCATTAACGACCCGCTCAGACTCAATGGTAATGAACCCTAAGTCAGGGTTGTTCACTTTCAGTGAGTTACACGTTCAAGTCCTATAGAATTTTTTTTCTCCCTTTTTCAATTAACCTTATAAATAATTACAAATTATTAAAAAAAAAGCAATTAGTATCCATTAGCATGACAGCATGAGATGGATAAATAAAAAAAAAGTGATGTATAAAGATAATTTTTTTATATAAAATAGTAAAAAATATAATCAATATACTCTTAAAAACACACATTAAAATTTTTTTTAAAAAATATCTTAAAATAATTTTATTTTAAATTTATTTTTAAAAAAATCTCACCCCTCACTTATCATTATCATCATCATTATTATAATAATAATAATAATTTTAATTTAAACTTGAGCGACTAACCTTAACGATAAATCTTGATGTTGATGGTTGTATTTTAGTCATATAACATATATATCACTGGAAACTAGATTCTTCTTTCTCCTTCTTCTTCTTCTTCTTCATTGGGGAAAGTTTGATTATAATTAATTTGAGGCTAAGGGGAAAGCAATTAGTATCCATGAACGGTCCACTTTGATCTAATGGCATTGAACTCTAAATTAGGGTTATTCACTTTCAGTGGATTGAATGTTCGAATCCTACGGAATCTTTTTTTTTTAATTTTTTAATTAACCTTGTAAATAATTACAAATTGTTAAAAAAAAAAAACAATTAGTATCCATGAGCGTGACAGCATGAGATGGATAAATAAAAAAAAAGTGATGTATAAAGATAATTTTTTATATTATTATTTGATATAATTTTAATATATTATTAAATAAATAAATACATTTAATATTATAAATCTTATATAAATTAAAAAAATAAATTATTTAAATAACATATTAAATTATATAAAAAAAATATATAAAAAAATTGTTTCAAAACCATTTCTCAGATAAAAACAAACTATATATATTCTCAAACGGCGTCGGTTTACACGTGTCGCTGTAAGCCTACGTCCTTCGTGGCCGTCTCAATCTCATCTCATCTCATTCTCATCTTCACTTCCCACCGCGCGTTTAGTGTTTCGCACATGCCGTACACGTGTAAATCATTGCACTATCTGATCAATGGGGTCCACCCTTTGCATCAGACGGTTTAAATAGATACCATACTATAATCCACCCTTTGATCTGACGGTTTGGATAGATACCATACTATAATTACGGAAATTGTCCCACACCAGATGATTGAAAAAAAAAAAAAGAATAAGAATCTCCAATATTTCGCTTCCGTGTCTCCATTCAAACCGGTCGATAAATTCCGGCTATTATAATTTTATTATAATTATTATATTTTATTCCTTTTTCTACCTTTTCATAACACCAAATATTCAATTTCTTTTTTTATAATTGGTTTATTATTACTATGTCATAGTGTTTGTGTGTATACATACACCCAAAAGAATATATCATAAATAAATATTGGTGACCGGCTATTCCTGAAGATTACTAGTAGTTTCGAAGTTAGGTTTCTTGGTCTCCACACTCCTATATTTGTCTGTCTTACTGCTCTTCTGAATCAAAATTCATCAAAGAGTCGGCCGACCTTGTTCATCTTTATCTTTATCTTCAACTTCAACTTCATCTTCATCTTCCTCTACTGCTACTACCACTACTACAGTAGGTAATTTTTCTTTCTCTTTCTATTGTTATTGATTTTCTTTGTTTGTTATTACCCTGTTTTAATGTGGTTCTGCTTTCTTTTTCCGAATTCCTTTTCAATTAGGGTTTTGTTAAACTGGACAAGCTGGCTATCATCGATAACCACCATCACCATCATCCCTATCAGAATTCCGGGGTCTTCAAGGCCAACCATAAGAAAGTTATGGTACGGTATTGATTTCTTCTATCCCCTCCTCTCTTCTCCTCTCCTCTCCTCTCCTCTCCCCCTTACTGATAATATCTCTCAACAACTCTAATACAATCTTCTTCTTCTTCTTCTTCTTCTTTATGTTTGTGTTTGTCAGGTGACTCCAGTAGGGCGTATGGAGGATGATGAAATGTTCATGGGTCCACCATGGTTGATTCCAATGCTCAAAGCAAGCTACTTTGTTCCCTGTGCAATCCACGGAGATGCTAATAAAAGTGAATGCAATCTCTTCTGTTTGGATTGTATGGGAAATGCTTTCTGTTCTTACTGTTTGATTAACCACAAAGATCACCATGTTGTTCAGGTCAGGTCTCCCCTGTTCCCTTTTCCCTTCCTTTTTTTTTTTTTTTTTCTATAATAAATAAAGAGTTTCTGAGACAACATTCTTCTTCAAATCAAGGACTTATAAAAAAGTAAAGTGATGGGGTTAATTTAATTAGTCTTTTTAATGTGCAGATAAGGCGATCCTCCTACCATAACGTGGTGAGAGTAAATGAGATACAGAAGTACATAGATATATCTTCTGTTCAGACCTACATCATCAACAGCGCCAAGATTGTGTTTCTCAATGAACGCCCTCAACCCAGGCCTGGAAAGGGTGTCACTAATACCTGTGAAATCTGCTGTAGAAGCCTCCTGGATTCCTTCAGATTCTGTTCTCTTGGTTGTAAGGTGATAAATGGTTAATTTCCCCCTTTTTTGTTTTTCCAGTTCTCTTGGTGTTTAAGACAAAGGATTTAATGGTGTTGATTGATCAATGTGTAAGGAATCTACGCCTCAGTTGACTTTTTGGTGGGTGGGAAATTGGGTTTTCTTAATTTTTTCATCTAATTAAAAAATTTTTATTTTAAATTATTGTTTTTGATAAATATTCAATCACCATCTTTCTTGCGTAATTGAGTTTTCTTCACCCCACAAGATTTTTTGTTTTTGTTTTTGGGCTTGTTAATTAATATCGTGTTTGAATATCCTACTCTGTTTTGGCTTTGTTAGTGTTCTGTTTTGTTTTTGCTCTGTTTTCAAATATGTCTGAATTATTTATTGTATTATATCATCTGTAATTGGAGCAGTTGGGAGGTATGAGAAGGGGTGAAGGGGACCTGACATTTACGCTGAGAAACAAGCACAACAGAGACTCATTCCACGGCGGTGGTGAGTCAGAGTCGGATGAATCATCTACACCGAAGAAGGTGAGAGTGACCCCTGTTTTCAACCGCATGATGGATGGACTGACCTTGTCTTCTGATGGTGGAGAGAGGTACTCGAGTTCTGGAGATGAGGGTACAGCCAACATTTCTCCTTCTACTCCTCCAATTTACAATCACCGCAATGCCAGGAGAAGAAAGGGTATACCTCATCGAGCTCCATTTTAAAACCTCCTCACAAAGCACAAACCAAAAAATTAAAAAAAGAAAAAAAAGAAAAAAAAAAAGAAGAAGAAAAGAGTAGAGGAAATTGAGAAATGTTTGGTATATAGGAAATAAGGAAAGAAAATATTGAGAAAAAGAAGATATAGGAAAGGGAAATACTAGTATAATAGATTGCCATGTACAAAGCTAGTGTGTGTTTTCTTAGTAGCTTGGTTTTCTGTTTGATCTTTGGTAATTAACATGGGATGGAATATATTTTCCAAAATAGAAATTTTAGGATGTATGGAAGAATATTATATATATATCCATCCATGTACATATTGTTTATAAGCTACAGCTTCATCTCTTCTTTTTTTCTTTTTTTCTCTTTTTTTCCCCATTAATTATACAAAGAAATATGTTTATTAGTAGTATATTGAGGTTGGTTTGCATTGCATAATATGCATTATTGATTGAGTCAGGGAAGTGGCTATTACGTGGAAGTATAGATGTGTAATGGGGGGTTCTGAGTGTTGGGAGAAACAAGGGAAAAGTGTTTGATTTACTGGAAGAAGGGGGACCATTGCATTGCAACTCCCACAAAGTTGTCAAGGGATAAGATTATTATCAAAGGATCTATATCTCATGCGTGTTGCTATTTATGTTCCGTGGGGTATGGAAAGTAGCGAAGTGAAGTGAAGTAGCATATTTTTGGAATATATACTAGACCCCTCTGTTTTGACAGTTTCTAGCTGGGATCTATCTTGGCTCGTCTTCAAACATAGAATAGAACAAGCAACAAGTCTAGGGTTCTAACAGTCAAACCAAAATATCAGATAAAGATTATATATATATATATATATATCTATCCTGGTGTCATGTTGTTTGTGCGGCATGATTGAGGCGACAAAAATGTCATCAGCCACCAGACAATATTAATGCAGCTTGGAGATAGTAATAGTAAGTGGGGTTGGTTCTTTATGGCTGTGGATAATAATTCTGACATTAGTCGTACTGGTCTAGAAGAATTCATGTTTATTACCCCGCATACATAAGTAATGAAGAGCACCAAACTTCATAAATTAATTATTAAGTACATTTAATATTTTAATAATAATTAAAATTTAAAGTCATGATATTATTATATTAAATTTTGTTTGTCTTCTTATTCTAAATTATACTTATTCAAAAAAA